TGTGTCTTCTATTTTTAATTTCTTTCTTTCTTTGTTTATTTCTTTCTTACTTTTATATACGTACCTCAAAAAAAAGGTAAAACAGAAATAAAACTATGCCTAAGGTTTAAAATGAATTTTTAAAAATGAAAAATTCTTCTTGAAGCTTTTATTTTAGTTTTAATTTCAAGCTAATTAAATTTAATATTTCCAATAATCAAAATACTTTGTTGTATTTCAAAGACTAATTTAAATGAATTGAAAGAAGTAGGTTTTTGCTAAAATATCTGATTAGCGCCATTTTTCAATCGTCTTTCATCGCAATGTAATTCTCTTTATTAAAAGATCTTCAAAAAATAAAATATATATTTTCTTGAGCTTTATTTGAGTAATATGAGCTGATTTAAAGTACAATTAATTTGACATGAAACAAATATTTAATTCAAGCTTAAATGCATTTTGAAACCCGACAGTAACTTTTTTAACGTATTGACAGCCTGATGTTGTTCTTCAGAGACTTTATCTGTAAAACATAATTTAAGAAAATGACTCAATAATCTTCAAAATTTAGGAAAATTCTACGTAATCTAATGTAATCTACTATTCTACGTAATATAATGTTCTATTAACTTTTAGAAATGTTGATTTTAAATTTACTATATTTATAGCTCTTATTTTCTGATAATGTCGTGTGACCATATAAAAATGGGCAGGGTTATACACATACAAAAAATTCAAAATTATTTTGTAAATATTGGTTTTTGATTATTTATACTAAGCTTTTCCATTTATGATTAGTAAATATAGTTTTCACTTAATAATATATCATCTAAAAGACTGAAATTAATACAAAATTTGAAAAGATTTAAAGCCTAATAATTTTTAAAAAATGAAAAAAATTCTTGTGAAAATTCATTATTCATCGAAAAAATGTTTTTTCTTTAAGATATAGTGTCCTTAATATATCTTATTTATAAAAGCAATTAAAAGCTTTTATAATTAAATAATGTTTCAGTTTTATTGCATTTTTTATTTTACGATTCAGGGCAGATTTTCGGTAAATGTTGTTTCTGTTTAACATAAACAAATTGATGATTTAAATTCTCCAAGGAGCCTTGCTTTTAATTAATATAAATATGAAGAGGGTAGAATCTTAATTTCTCGAAATTTCATAAAAATAAATGTAAGTAACAGATGAAAAAGAAAATACTTTTACAAAGATTTTCTTTAAAATAATTTAAAAATAAATGTAATAAATCCTGAAAATTTCATTAAAATCTGACAATTATTTAATTTTTGCAAAAATTTCCAAAACAATGTAAAAACGACGGTAAAATAACTTATACTAATCTTTGGCCCTCCCGCTGACGCAAGAAAAATAAAATGTATTTTTAATTTTCGTAGTTTTCAGTTACGTGATTTTTTTTCAATAGCACGAAATAAAAATTATAATCCGTTATAATCCATCAATGAATTATAATCCATATATAAATTGTCATCCAAATTATAATCCATAAAATTATAATGCCTTGTAATCGAAATTATAATCCATATTAACTGAAATAAAAATTATAATCTCTTCTCTCTTCTAGTGTCGACCTACTTTCCATAATCTGAGCATTATTTGGTTATTCTAGCTATAAAGAGATTTTAGATTGTAACGTGCTGCCATTTTTTAGGATTCTTGCGTTTATTTTGGAATTTGTTTCAGCTCATAGACTAAACCATGTCAACGAAAACTGTGGAAATGGCAAGCCTGTCATGAAATTCCTACAGGGGAAAAAATACTCCAAAGAAAATCCCTGCGTGTATGAGGCAAATATTGGGTGACGAGTGCTCATCAAACTCGACTGTGAAGAAGTGTTATGCCAACTTTGCGGCATGGACATTTTGAAACTCAAGATGCCTCATGGGTTTGGAGGCCTTCAAAAGTGTCATCTGAATTTGTTGATCATGTTTATAATATAATTTTCACTAATAGATGAATCTCTTCCAACAAAATTGTTGTGATATGAGAGATATCCAAGAAAGAACACAATGTTTTTATAATTCATGAGATGTTTGATATTCAGAAGCTCTCAGTCAAAATGGTTGAATACTGTGTGCCAAAATGGTTGAATACTGACCAGAAAGAATATCAAGTAGAGATCTTCAAGTTGATTTTGCAGACATCATTTTCAACAATCTGTTGATAACTTTTTGAATGACTTGGCACTGTTGATGATAATGGTTAGACTACTATCATCTGGAAACCAGTCCATGAAACGACAGCACTGGGCTTTCCCAAAGCCGAAGAAATTCAAAAAATCAAAAAAAATGTCAAGCAGGAATTGTTATAGTCACTTTTCTTGGTAAATAATGTAACTTTGGAAGAGCTAAACCAAATTTTTCTTGGTAAAGTATTTTCAGAAGAGCCAAAGTTAATACTGAAAACTATTCTAACTTGCTTTGGCGATTAAATTTGGCGTTGAAATAAAAACGACGAGTAAAGTTGCGGAAAGATGTTCCCTTACTGCGGAACAAGGCATCTACCCCCTGGAATGGCAAAACGATGGATATTTTGAAAAATTTGAGATTTAATTGCAGGAGCCATCTATCCTACTTACTAAATCTTGTCCTATTTAACTATTTCCAAAATTTTAAAAAAGTTTCAAGGGGAAGAAATTTTCGACTTTTTTTTTGCGGGGGCGGGTACAGAAACTGGAGAAACGTTTTGTTAAATGTGTTGAACTGCTGTGGTATGGATATTTCGAATAGCATGGTTCTAGATCATTCACTTTTTGGTCAGGGTGGGAACGCTTCAGATTCCTCATCATATATATGAAAATAAAGAGTGTTCCAATAACTTGTACCGATTTTAATGTAAATTAAGTTTAGGCGTCTAATGATTTTTTTTCTTTTTTCTTTCAGATTTGGCGAATATTTGAGCGATATTATTTTTTCACAAACAATTGCTATGATTTAAATAACATGGTCCAGTAGAGAAATAAATAAATTTTTACCAATAACACTGATTTATTTACTGTCTTAATGAAACACCCTTATATATAATCAATCTTAATATAAAGGGTATTTCATTAATAAAAAGTATTTCATTAATAAAGAGTATTTCATTAATAAGGGGTAATAAATACCACGACGTAGACGTCATAATATAGTCTTTTAGCATAACCATCCATGTCAATGCACTTCATTCGAACATTAAAGAGTGAAAAATTCAGATCAAAATTTAGCTAATAAATACGAGTGAGTATTCAGTGAAAACTCGGAGAGCCGAGTTCGAATACCGGTAAGGTCCGTTATATTCAGTTACGCATAAGTACCCTTGGGAAAGGTATGAATCCATCTCCTCTCTCCCCATCTCTCTCTCTCTCTCTCTCTCTCTCTCTCTCTCTCTCTCTCCGTCTATGGGTTGAATAGCAGCCTTGAACATCTTATATTTATGAGATGATGTATTGTAACTATTTACACTATTTACATTGTTCGCACTGTTGTTCTCATCTTCATTGTTATATTCACGACGTTTCGGCCGTCGTATGCTACTACCTTCTTCAGGAGGTGTCTTTATTTCTGAGATGATGTATTTTAACTATTTACACTATTTACATTGTTCGGACTGTTGTCCTCATCTTTGTTGTCATATTCACGACGTTTTGGCTGTTGTACGCTCCCGAAACTGTGATATCTAAAGGAATGGCACGTAGAATTAGAACAATCTATTCCTGTGGAGTAAATAAATGATTCTGTTCGAAATTCCAATAAATATCACATGAAGAAGGCTGGAGCGTAGAACAGCCGAAATGTCGTGAATACAGCAATAAACATGAGGAAAACAGTCCGAATAATGTAAATACCTATAGCTTTGGTTGGCAACTAGTCTACCGCAGAAAGAAACTGCAATCTACTGCGGGAATATCTTCTGCCTCGTCAGTCATGAATCGAAAGAGATATAATCGCCCAGGCGATAGAAATAATAGGTATGTTAATAAGTCTGTAAACTAATGATGAAAAAAGGCAATTATTTTGCACATATTCACTATGAAAAATAATTGCTTATTCTTTCAACAGTTTTTAAAGGCTTTTATTTTACAACACAATCTTCCTCGTAAAATGAGGAATTTTAATCCGATAAATCTGTAGATATTTGCAACCAAACTATTTTTTTATTATTGTCAATGAGATTAATAAATTATTATAGTTTCGTTTTTCAAAGTGATCCGCTCCAAAAATATTCTGATCTTCACAAAAATGGGTTCTTGAAATAATTCTCTCTTTTTCTTAAAGTCTTTTCTGACTGTCTAAAAGAGTTTTGTATCATTTTTCGTTAACTGGACATAAGTAAGATTCTTAGATTTTATTCCTTTTTAAACCCATTGTTTACTTTGCTTTCATTTCTCCGAAATTTTTCATCAAACCAGATCTACTTTTTACTGGAGGCCAAAGATTTAAAACAAATAAATTAAGTGTAGTGTTCAGACGAAGGGTTGAAAATGCAGCAACGAAAATAATGTTAGCATGGCATTTTATTTCAGATATGATTCCATGTTTTTCTTCTTTCTTTTCCTTTTCCTTTTTGACTGAGGGAAAAGGCAGCAAACAGTTTACAAGTAGAAACATAATGAGACAAATTTGGTTTATCTTTATCTGAAAGTGTTTATTTGGAGTGTTTTTTTATCTGTAGCGATAGAAACTCTTTTAAATCAAACGGACGGGGTTTTTACGAAACTTCTTGGATTTGGTGTTGGAACGTCAATTAATAAAGTTTTACCAATGTCACACAATTAAACCTTGTGTAACTTAACTTACAAAGCAGTTTTGTTCTAGGAAGTATCATTTTTATATTGTTCATCCCAAGCTATATGCAAGATAGATAGATAGATAGATAGATAGATAGATAGATAGATAGATAGATAGATAGATAGAATAGAAAGAAAGAAACAGATTAATAGATAGAAACAGATTGATAGATTAATAGATAGAAAGAAAAAAATTGTGATATACACAAATAGAGAAAGGTTAACATATTAAGAGATAGATAGATAGATAGATAGATAGATAGATAGATAGATAGATAGATAGATAGATAGATAGAAACAGATTTAGATAGAGGAGAGATGAACATATTGAGATTGATAGATAGAGAGCTAGAAAGAAAGAAAGAAAGAAAGAAAGAAAGAAAGAAAGAAACAGATTAATAGATAGAAACAGATTGATAGATTGATAGATAGAAAGAAAAAGATTGTGATATACATAAATAGAGAAAGGTTAACATATTAAGAGATAGATAGATAGATAGATAGATAGATAGATAGATAGATAGATAGATAGATAGATAGAAACAGATTTAGGCAGAGAAGAGATGAACATATTGAGATTGATAGATAGAGAGACTATGGGAGAGATTAAGAGAGAGATGTGAACATACTGAGATAGATAGATAGATAGATAGATAGATAGATAGATAGATAGATAGATAGAAACAAAGATATAATTTCACTGCAGTTGCATCAGAGCCAATACATCCTGAAACTCTTCAACGTGTTACAAACTTGAATCGCTTTTTGCCTTATTATCATAACCTCTCGAATCCTACGGCAAATTCCTTTATTCTTCTTTTGTTGTCTTTTACATGAATTTTAGACTCAATTCAACTGCAATTCTGTTGTTATTAATAATCACGGATGTCGATTTCTCCACGAACAGAGGGTAATATATTTCTCCTACTATCAAGTGTTATAAATATTTCGCCCGAGTCTAACCAATTTCTGCTTGATTACATACAATACATGCATATCCATAGATTGAAGAAGTCAATCATTCTACACTCAGGTATAATTATCTTCTATATACCATGGAGGAGGCACGATGGAGTAATGGATAGCGGCTCGGATTGAGGAATCGGAGAGCCGTGTTCGAATTCCATTACGTGCCTTGGGAAAAGTATGAATCCTCTTCTTCTCCCCCCAGTTATGGGTAAATAGCAGGACAAACCAGGTTCTATAGCCTTGGATGGCAACTGGTCTACCGCAGAAAGAAATGGCAACCTACTGCGAGAAAAAAATCTGCCTCATCAGTCATGTAGCAAAAGATATACGATCGCCTAAGCGTGTATCACGCATGACATAATTAACTGATGTACCATGTCATTTCAGGACTTAGGTGATCAAGACTCTCCACAACTTCCTATTCCTTTCAGCTAAGTAAGGTTTATCTTTTTGCTCTTAATCCTTTTTTTTTTCTCTGCCAGCCATTTGCAGAAGCTGTTTGCGTCGGCTATTGGCTGATTTATCCTGTCCCTCCTGATTTCAATATGTCCTATAAATTCTTCCTTTTTCCTTAAAACTTCATCAATGCTCACATATTCAGTCCATGGTATTCTCAACAACCTTCTGTAGAGCCACATTTCTTCATCCTCTGTCGGAGGACGCATATTTTCTATGAAAACTTCTCGGACATTCAGGCCGGTAAATGTCGTTAATACTGTTTGTTATAAACAGAGCATTCACTGCCATAGACCGATATTACATAACAGTTCCGGGTTTTTTTCCTTCATTTCTAACGAAATTTTCTTGTTTCTTAATATTTTGCTTGCCTTTTGGAAGGTATCTTTTGCGATTCCAAATACAGCTTCGGATTTCGGTGCCATATTTTTTGTCCTCTGCTAAAATACTACATCAGTATTTCAATTTTTGTACCTTCTTTTTCTTCTTCTCCGCCTCCACTTTTTCCTCCTACCCTTCTTTGTCTTCTTCCCCTCCCCTTCTTCTTTTTCGCCTCTTTTTCTTCTTTTCCTCCTCCTCTTCCTCCTCCTTTTCCTCCTCTTCTTCTTCTTCTTCTTCTTCTTCTTCTTCTTCTTCTTCTTCGCCTCCTCTTTTTCCTCATACCCTTCTTTGTCTTCTCCTCCTCCTCCTCCGTTCCTCCTCCCCTTCTTCTTCTTTTTCTCCTCTTCTTCTTCTTTTCCTCCTCCTCTCCCTTCTCCTTTTAATCATCTTCTTCTACCCTTCCTCCTCCTTTTCCTCGTTTTCCTTTTCTTCTCCTGTTCCTCCTCCTATTTTTCTCCTTCTCCTCTTCCGCTTCGTCGTCTTCTCCTCCCTTTCTTCTTCCCTCTTTTTCTTCTTCTTTAACCTCCTCTTCTCCTTCTCTTGCTCTCCTCTTCATCCTTCTATCCTTCTCCTTCTTCATAATCGTAATGCAATGAAGATGGAAAACTGCTACACCATGCTCCATCAAAAAGGCATCTAATTTACTGCGAATAAAAAGCTACTTTTCAATTGTCGTTAGCCGTTCCTTCTGAGACGTAGAGAAGAAAAAAAAGAAAAGAAAAGAACTGTCCCAAATGAAAAAATGACAAAGTAACCAAATTCTATTGACGTTTTGAAGAACGGCCAATGATCAGATTCAGATCTCAAGGTCAAATCTTTCTTTTCTTCTGAAAGTGAAAGAATTACTTAGCAGTCGGGGTGTCGAGATTGTTGGCCTCGGTTTGAAACGTTCCTTGGTTCAGCTGGCCGGCCAAGATAA